GAAAACATTTTTAAAAATTGAATTTTCTATAATAACATTTATATAAAAACATTACCAGAAAAAATAAAACTGACGTTTTTGGACACTTTGTACTAAATAAAAGCTGCCTGTACTAATTTCTAGGAAAAAGGTTTTTCATATGTCAACTTTTTTGGCTTTTAAAAATAGTTTAATTCAATTTAAAAAAATATAATGCAAGTCCATCATTTCATATACATTTACTGTTAGTGTAAAAGGAGGTCGAGTGCGAAAATTGACTTTTTTTTTTTACAAAAAAAAGTATAAGTCTTATTATTTCTTTGTGATTTAGAAGTATAATTTCATATTTTATTTCCATCTGCTGTTTCCATTGTAATAGACTACTTATAGTAATTGTATACTCATAATGTCATCTTTAGCACTAATAGAATGAGAACAAAAAATTGACACATACGATCTTTTGCACTAAGAGTGGCGTTATTCCTTTTCTCTGATTCCATATTCATGATTAATCACCATTGTAAATTTTGTGGGTTAAGTTACATTACATTTATATAATATATATTAATGCTAAGTCGAACGAACGTTTTTTTCTTGGATAATACTTTTAAGATGTCGATATTGAATAAGGTTTCATTAAACTTTCTTTGTCGCAAATATTAATTCGTCAGTATCTAATCTAAAATATTCTAATGCAATAATACCTGGTATAATAGCATTTGTATTAATACTTATCGATCACATTTTTTTTTTTAATAATTATTATCTGAACCTCAAAAAGGTAAATTACAATTATTGAACTTATAACATATGTTTTAACCAGATAAAACATACAATTTTATTTAACAAACACATGCTTACTACAGATATATGAACTGAATTCCAAACCAATATTTAACCGATTATTAATTTATTCCATCTTTTGTACCGGGAAAAATGGAGTTTATCACTCATTACGTAAACTGCAGTTTCGGCTTATTTTTTAATATTCAACAACAAAATATTTTATATCTACTTATCCAATCCTCATACCAGTGTTAAACGCTTAAATCTGGTTATAAAATGTTCATAGTAAATATAATGGCCACAATAAAACGGCATCTAGCAAGCCATGAAGTGGAGTGGGGTAGAAGTGTAATGAGAGATGGATACAACAATGGAAACAGAGATTTCAAGGACGCACTCATTCTCTTGTGGCTTATATAATACGTATCTGTTAGGAAATTTTTCACTGAAAATATTAATAAAACTAGTAAAATTGGCTGTTAATAACTACAATAAATGTCAATAACTACAATAACTCATCCATACAAACCTTCACAAGTTTATTATTTCATAATAATATTGCTTTTTTTAAAAAAAGTTTGAACTGTCAAGTGCGCGTATATCCAGAAATATTCTGACAGGCCTTTCGTGTTAACGTAAATATTACTAATCGGATTACTAACAATTAAAGGACTCGAGAATAATTACTTCCAACTGCGTGGAAAGTCGTGCTCGCGTGTTTCTACAGGTTCACGGTTGATGGAGTTCGGTCTAATTTTTTAAAGTTATAGGCATCTGAAGTAGCGAATCTACTAACTCTCGAGATCATTTAATTTGTTTAAAAGTATTATTTATATATTGTCCATTTGCTACAAAATTATTTTTAAGCATCCTAAATTAGATTTTTTTGTGTATATGTTGTTACTACCTTCTCTATTGTTAACAACAATTATTTTATATATATATATATATATATATATATATATATATATATGAGATGTATATAATGTAAGGAAAAAAAATAATGATAAAAAAAAAAGATCGAAAGAAAGCTAAGAAAATCTTCGAATGGGTAATTAATACTTCCGTCTTTGAACAAATAATGAATTAAAAAAAAATGGAGTTCATTCTGATTTAGAAAATGGAGTAAAGCTAAGCATATAACGGGCTGACACAAAAAAGAAGAGAAATTCTTATACCACATGTCCATTCAAATCATTTATATAATACAGTTAAATAAGTAATGTAAATGCATATTAATTTTATATTTTTAAAAAAAATGCTTAAGCAATTTACGGAGAAAGAAAGGACATTAAAAAAATAAATAAATAAATAAGATATATCCTTCAGATTATTGCTTTATATAGAGGAATAAGTTCTAAAATAATAAATGAAAAACATTCGTATGCATTAGTGCTATATATGTGCATAATTTAAATATAATAATTTCTCTATTCACCTTATATAAACACATTTGAAAGAGTAAATTTAATTTTAATTTTCACATTTTTATCAATATAGACCTGATTTATACATTCATGCCAGTTACCTTGTGCATGCAATATATTTTTAAAAAATATTATCAGTTAGTTTTCCATATCCTATACAATAACTGTATTACATTATTATTTAATAAGAGATTGTTGTAATTTTATATTTTAGTTTCTAGAAAGTGTTAAATATTTTTTTCTTCTTTTTCCGTCTATTGTTTTAATTATTTTAGTTTATGAAAAATAAAAATACACTAAACATTCTAAATAATATTTATTCAATTTTTAATCCTTGCTCTAACTTCCCTTATTGTTCGAAGCATTTCTTAAAGATACCAGTTTAATTAAATATTCGAATAAAAAAAAAAAATCGTCTACAGTTTTATCACGGAATGAATAAATCATTTAGATTTATGATGAATAAAGCATATAAGCGTCATTAAATTAAGAGGAAGTGTAGGTAATTGATTCCTAATTTTCTGATAATTTTAGTTTCTTATGGTATGATTACCATAAATATGATTCAAGATAAATTCCATCGATATTCCAGGAACATGTGAAAGACACCTTGTGAATACCTAGTACGACGGGAAAAGAAATAGCAATGTAAATGAAATTTTCCACTAAAACCGAATGACACTTTACGAGTAAAATCTCGACAAGATAAGACACGTAGTCACATACGCTCCAAGCATCCGGAAGCCCTTATGTTAGAGCCATAACCTTCTAAATCGTGTGTGACAACCTAGCAGAAACGTGATGGAAACTGGGTTCCTGATAGGTAGCCACTTGAATAATGATTCATTTTCACATTATCAGGCAAAAGCACAAAAAATATATATTTAAACAGTATATATTATTATATTATTATTAATATATATTATATTATTGGAAGGAGAACTTAAAAGTTAAAATTTACCGAACCAATGGGTTAACGTCTGAGAGGTGGACCAAGACGCAGATGGGAGGATTATATTTAGTAGGATCTAACTGACTTAGCTTTTGACGGAGATTAGTGAGAAGGGGTATCAGGTCAAGTAGTTATGAACTACTTTAATGATAGGAAGGATTTTCACCTTTTAACTGACCTAAATATTTTTATTTGGTGTAACTGAAGATAATCATACAACCACAATACAAATATTTCTACACAAAAATAACTTAGAATCTTACGTATCCAAAGTACCAAATTAGTAGTATTTTTTTTATTATGAAGTGAAAGATATTTTAATTAAATATTTAGTATAACGTTTAGCGCCATTTGAAACTGTTTTGGAGTTTGAAAAATCCGAGATGCTTTGTCTAATGCACACAGAAGTGTATCGGAGTGGGAATAACTCACACCTTATAAGTATTATTTCGAGCGCTATGAACAAAATGTTCGACTTCATGAACTTTAATTGGTTACTGTAATTCCGTTTTAATTCTAAATCTAAACAAAAATGGTTGCTATCTCTCACAGCACCGTTACTCTGTTGAATCATACCAATTATTGATTTTTAGCATTTATAGAAGCCAGGCCAGGACAGTTTAAAAATTACACTAAAATCCTTTAAAAATTTAGCAGTGCTAATGTCACCTTAAGCATCATAATCCTACCTCAAAATAACCTCGAATAAAACAACTGTTGGTTGGAATTAGTATTATGGGAATCATATCTTGAAATTTATATATAATATTTTCCACATTTACTCCTGGGCGTAATATTGAACGACGATATGTAATTAAATAAAGGAAGCTAAAAATTTTGTTAATTGAAATATATAAACTTATATTAATGTTTAATATTATGACTACGAATTTAAATAAGTCCTAATATAAAAATGTTGGTTGATAATGAATCTTATTGAATCGAATTTTGCTATTTCCTAATGTTGGTTCTACATTAAAACCACAATGCAATATTTCCTTTTACACTTGTTCATTTACCGTCTCATCTTTTCTTCACTGTTATCAGATAATTGAATTGTCCTATTTCTGCTTTTCACATTTATTTATATTTTCCTTGCTTATTTATTTATTTTCATTTACGTTTACTGAATAATAATTAAGCAGTAATGTTTTACATGTATATTATTATCGGTCACAATATTTATAAAATTCTTGACATTTAATAACTGATAATAAGAATAGAGAGTAAATAAAATAAGGAAAAGTACTACATGGTAGAAAAAAAATATATTTTTTAAAACTTTATTATCATACATTACTCGATATCGTTATATAAAGATTGATATATTTTATATGAATTTTGCAGTCTCCTATCAATTGTTCATTTAGTAGATAAAGATCTCCTATTCAGATAAAGATAAATTATTTTTTATTTTATGTTTTTGAACAATAAATTAAAACAAGCCGGGTCTTAAAAGTATTGAAATCTAAAACATGAAAACATATTACTTGAAAATATTAAAATAATTGTTCACATACATATACAATTAGTACATATAATTATCCCTTATGATATATATATTTTTTTATTCTTTCATGATATTTATAGCTGTACTAAAAAAAAATAAATACATCCAGTAAATGCGAACTTAGGGACATAATAACATGATATAATAACATCTACAAACTTCCACAAGCATGTCCCATGTAGCAATAAGCAGTTTATTTATTTTTTCTTTATCATATAGAGCATATGAAATCATATTCCATAGGGTATCATATTCGCCAATGTTAAACGCGCATGAATGGTACGCCTGTGAAGCAAACGCTTGCAGATCTTTATCACATCCTGCCGTATAAGTCCCTGCTGTTTCCTCACTTGACATATGGTGTTCGGGACTCGCTTGCCTTGGTCGTCCAGAAACCGTTTGTGTAGCTTCTTAGTACTTTCAACTGGTAGTTCATTCCAGGCCTTCTACGACTTGGAAGAAGAATGCTGTGGAATTTTCTCTTGTTCAATCCATTCAAATCGAACTGGTTTTGTAACTGATTATCGACTATTCTATACCCAATTTGATTAGAATATTAATTTGCGTCATTGTCGAAACAATCATTTTAAAGAAAACAATACTTAAGAAATGTTTGCAGTTTCAAAGCCCTTGTTATTTATAAATATATTATTTGATTTTACGTTTAATAATTTCAAGTATGCAAGGATGTCTGATCTCTAGGAAAATATTCATTCATTATTTTCTTGAATAAAATCGATAATAATATATTATCCGATAATAGAATCGTTCTGCATATATATATATATATATATATATATATATATATATATATATATAATTATTATATTTATAATATTCAGTAGATAAAACTGAACTTTTGCGACCCCCACATGAAATTGATTCAACAAATCTTAAGTGAACACCATGCCCAATTTGTTAATTATTTAATCTGATAAGACACGAGTTTTTTATATTGGTACATATTCTGTATTTTATATAACAAATACTGTTTGTAAACATGCATTTATAGCAACACTAGCTGATGTACACGTCGTTGACGGGTGTAAAGTTAAAATTTGAGAACCTTTTTTTGAGATGGATTTTGTATAATGTGGGGAGGGGGAGACTTAAATCTAATTTCACAAAATTGGGTGAGAGGAAGTTGTTTTGAATTCTTTTATGGCGGAGCTTATGGAAGTCAAAGTTTCGCAATAGTCATGATAAAAACTTTGTTATCCGGCTATTTGTTAATAAGCCACACAACTAAACCGACCACCACCTATCCATTAAAATTTTTAATTGTTTAATTTTCATTTATGATGAAGCGAGGAGATTGTGGAATCGATTGTACTCATTTTTTTTTTTTTTTTTTTTTGTTTATTGATAAATATTACAATCTGTCTCAATAAAGAACATTTATAACAGAGTTCTGAGAGCACATTCACACCATATTTACAAATAAAAAAAAAATAAAAAAAAAAATAAGCTAACATAAAAAAAATAAGCTAACGATTGTACTAATAAAAAAAAGATGTAGTCTCTCCACTTCTTTAAACTCTGCTGAGTTTACCACTCGCAAAATAACATTGGACATTGAGTCACCTACATTCGTGTAAAATTAGAACTTGATCTGAATATTGTGGCGGGCGGGGTGAAATTTTTGGGAGGTTTTTCGTTCGATTTCTGACCAGAGTTGGGCGTTAGCGCCGCTAATTTTTAACTAGCTAACGTACCGCTAAATAGCTAAAATTAGCGGCGCTAAATATTACGCTAATTTAGCTTCCAGCTGTTTTAGCGCAGATAACTTTAGCGCTAAATTAGCTATTAGCGGAAACGTACCGCTAACTTTTAGCTTAAGCTAAATTATCTATTAACTTAACTAAAAGCTAACTTAACGCTAACACTAGAAGAAATTTTATTTATTTCATTTTATTAATTGATATTAGGATCGACTGTTATGTAATCAGGGGCGCTTTTTATGAAAATTGCCCCGGGCACCGACTTTTTGTAACTTTTCTGATTTAATCGATGTATGGGTCGACTATTAGATATTAGGGGGCGTTTATTATAAAAATATTGTCGGATTTTAGATACGCTCCCCCCCCCCCCGGGCACCGACTTTTTGTAATTTTTCTTATTTAATCGATATATTGGTCGACTATTAGGTTTTCGGGGGCGCTTTTTATAAAAATAATGTCGGATTTTAGGTGTGACCCTTCCCTCCCCCCCCCGGCACCGACTTTTCGTAACTTTTCTGATTTTATCGATATATGGGTCGACTAATAGTTTTTGGGGGGCGCTTTTTATGACAATAATGTCGGATTTTAGGTGTGACCCCTCCCTCTCCCCCCGGGCACCGACTTATCGTAACTTTTCTGATTTTATCGATATCAGAGCCGACTATTAGGTTTTGGGGGGCGCTTTTTATGAAAATAATGTCGGATTTTAGGTGTGACCCTCCCTCTCCCCCCCCCCCGGGCACCGCCTTATCGTAACTTTTCTGATTTAATCGATATCAGGGTCTACTACTAGGTTTTGGGGGGCGCTTTTTATGAAAATAATGTCGGATTTTAGGTGTGACCCCTCCCCCACTCCGGGCACCGACTTTTTGTAACTTTTCTGATTTAATCGATGTATGGGTCGACTATTAGATATTAGGGTGCGTTTATTATAAAAATATTGTCGGATTTTAGATACGGCTCCCCGCCCTCCCCCCGGGCACCGACTTTATGTAACTTTTTTGATTTAATCGATATCAGGGCCGACTATTAGGTTTGGGGGGCGCTTTATATGAAAATAATGTCGGATTTGAGGTGTGACCCCTCCCCCTCTCCCCTCCCCTCCCCGGGCACTGACTTTTTGTAACTTTTCTGATTTAATCGCTGTATGGGTCGACTATTAGTATTAGGGGGCGTTTATTATAAAAATATGTCGGATTTTAGATACGCTCCCCCCCCCCGGGCACCGACTTTTCGTAACTTTTCTGATTTTATCGATATATGGGTCGACTATTAGGTTTTGGGGGGCGCTTTTTATGAAAATAATGTCGGATTTTAGGTGTGACCCTTCCCCCCCCCCCACGGCACCGACTTTTCGTAACTTTTCTGATTTTATCGATATATGTGTCGACTATTAGGTTTTGGGGGGCGCTTTTTATGACAATAATGTCGGATTTTAGGTGTGATCCCTCCCTCTCCCCCCCGGGCACCGACTTATCGTAACTTTTCTGATTTTATCGATATCAGGGTCTACTCTTATGTTTTCGGGGGCGCTTTTTATGAAAATGATTTCGAATTTGAGAATGGGGCCCCCGGGCCTCGACTTTTTTTAACTTTTCCGATTAAATCGATATTAGGGTCGACTATTATGTTTTGGGGGGAGCTTTTTATGAAAATTATATCAAATTTGAGATTGGGCCCCCCGGGCCTCGACTTTTTTAACGTTTTTGATTAAATCGATATTAGGGTCGAATATTATGTTTTGGAGGAAAGGTTTCACGGGGGGGAGAGGTTTCACCTAGAATCCGACATTATTTTTATAAAAAGCGCCCCCCAAAACCTAATAGTCGACCCATATATCGATAAAATCAGAAAAGTTACGATAAGTCGGTGCCCGGGGGGGAGGGGAGGGGTCACACCTAAAATCCGACATTATTGTCATAAAAAGCGCCCCCCAAAACCTAATAGTCGACCCATATATCGATAAAATCAGAAAAGTTACGAAAAGTCGGTGCCCGGGGGGGGGGGAAGGTCACACCTAAAATCCGACATTATTTTCATAAAAAGCGCCCCCCAAAACCTAATAGTCGACCCATATATCGATAAAATCAGAAAAGTTACGAAAAGTCGGTGCCCGGGGGGGGAGGGGAGGGGTCACACCTAAAATCCGACATTATTTTCATAAAAAGCGCCCCCCAAAACCTAATAGTCGACCCATATATCGATAAAATCAGAAAAGTTACGATAAGTCGGTGCCCGAGGGGGGGGGGAGGAGGTTTCACCTAAAATCCGACATTATTTTCTTAAAAAGCGCCCCCCAAAACCTAATAGTCGACCCATATATCGATAAAATCAGAAAAGTTACGATAAGTCGGTGCCCGAGGGGGGGGGGAGGGGTCACACCTAAAATCCGACATTATTTTCATAAAAAGCGCCCCCCAAAACCTAATAGTCGACCCATATATCGATAAAATCAGAAAAGTTACGATAAGTCGGTGCCCGAGGGGGGGGGAGGGGTCACACCTAAAATCCGACATTATTTTCATAAAAAGCGCCCCCCAAAACCTAATAGTCGACCCATATATCGATAAAATCAGAAAAGTTACGATAAGTCGGTGCCCGGGGGGGAGGGGAGGGGTCACACCTAAAATCCGACATTATTTTCATAAAAAGCGCCCCCCAAAACCTAATAGTCGACCCATATATCGATAAAATCAGAAAAGTTACGATAAGTCGGTGCCCGGGGGGGGGGGGGAGGGGTCACACCTAAAATCCGACATTATTTTCATAAAAAGCGCCCCCAAAACGTCATAGTCGACTCTAAGACGAATGAAATCCGAAGAATTAGCTATTAGCTTTTAGCTGAAGATACAGATAAAGATAATTAGCGGTTAGCGGTAAGAACAGCTAAAAGTTAACTTGCGCTAAAAGTTAGCGCCTTGGTCCCGCTAATAGCTAATTTAGTTGCAGAATTATCTGCCCGCTAATAGCTAATTTAGCTGTTATCTGTTATCTGTTAGCTATAGATAATTTTTGCCCAACACTGGGTATGCATAACTGTTCATTAAAAAAAAAAATCAGAGGAATTTTATAACAGTTTTGGTATTCTTACCTGGAGAAAGCTAAGGAAGCAGACAGCTATTCCAATGATAGCATACAGCGATCCATAGCGATGTGTTAAATCCAAAAACACTTTCAGATTGATGAAATCGTCTGGAACACTGATTCATAATAATAATCGTAGTCATATATGTGTATTGTGAAAATTAATTCCTATAGAGTAATGATATAATTAATAGCCCGGGGCTTGAAATCGTTATTTAATTACTGACAATTTGCAAAAATTAAGCACAGAATATGATAAATAGAAGAAAAGTGAATTAATGGATCATCACTTGATTAATAATTAACTGAGATCAAATAGAATTTATTAATCAATTAAAATGCTGAATTTCGTTCTCATGTTTTGTTTTATAATAATTTCATAAACACCAACTTAATCCGCAGTCAATTTTTCAATCGCCAAACTCAATTTAGAGGAGATATTAGAGGTAAGCAAAACCTTAAAAAACAACAACATAGTGTTGCCTTTCCCTCCCTCCACATAGCCCTGAGGCCAGGTACCAAAAATCGACCTGATCGCAGGCGAAGGTTTGATTGTAAATTACGAAAGTGTATATTATTCTGAATAAAAATAACCTTGTCTGCTGTTCCAGAGGCGCTGCTTTGAAAAATGGCGGCTGATTTAAAGAATATTAGCCAGTAATTTTAGAATCGAAACGGAAAATCCATTGCGAAAAATGTGAGATAGGTTTTTATTTTTTAAACTTTTATATATGGGTTTAGACATGTGAAAACAAAATTGCTAACGCTGGCCACCAAGGGAAAACTTTTCATAGCCAAAATAGTCTGATTTTTTCGATATTTTCACCTATAACTCCTAAATGATGCATCAAAGCGAAATATGTACCCTTTTCATAAATTAAAGAACGTTATATTATGCGTCCAGCGAGCACATAAACTTTATAGTTTGTTTACGTGGTAAAGTATAAAATCACGATCAACCATCGCTGATTTTTACCAAATTTGTAAAAAATGACACAAATGGTTCTGAAACTTGGAAATGAATTCTCTAAGAGGAAAAAACCCATATAATCAAAGTTGTAGAGCATCAACTTTTGCGTCCAGTGAGTACCAACTTCGAACAAAATCGGTAATTCCCTGATTGTTAGAAATGGGTAATGAATGTAAACATGATTTTGAATATTTCAATAGTATGGGTGTCTATTATACTGAGTTATTTTTGTTTAGAGTCTGTTACATGCTGTAAAATTCTCTTTTCCCCCGCTCAGCAGCGAAAGATTTTGATAAAGAACGTGTCGAAAGATCGAATTTCATAAAGAAATAACGAATCCCGATTCGAGATATAAAATTGGCCTAAAATAAAAATGTCAGTATTAAGTGGACGCAAAATTTGATGCTCTACAACTTTGATTCTATGGGGTTTCCTCTAAAGGAACTTATTTCCAAGTTACAGGGACATTTATAGTCATTTGTCTCAGTTTTGACAAATTTGGTAAAAATCAGCATTGGTTGACCGTGGTTTTACACCTTACTACGTAACCAAAATATAAAGTTTGATTTGACGCATAATTTAACGTTATTTAATTTATTTCATAGAGTACATATTTCGCTTTGATGCATCGTTTAGAAGTTACAGATGAAGAAACAAAAAAATATCCAAAAAATCTGACTTTATTGGCTATGATCAAAACTATTTAAAAATGGAGGAGACGACTTAAGAGTCAAGCTACTACAACTAATCCAGAAAATATGGGAAGAGGAAAGGATACCTAATACCGGCCTAATCTGTGCTATCCTAAATAAAGGCTCCATATATGAGTATAGTAATTACAGAGGCATAGCACTCCTTCCGGTAGCCTACAAGATAATGACCAATATCCTACTAAACCGGTATCACGAGAATGTAATAGGCGACCACCAAGCTGGATTCAGAAAAGAAAGGAGCACGCTAAATCAGATCTTCATCTTAAAACAAGCAATTGAAAAACGATGAGAAGTAGCTCAGGATGTACACGCCCTATTTGTCGATTTTAAAGCAGCCTATGATTCTGTGGACAGGAGCTGTATTTGGAAAATCATGAATGAAGTGGGAATTCCCGGTAAGTTGGTGAGATTGACTAGTCGTGTACAAATGACCCCGAATGCAGAGTCCTAATACAAGGAGAAGTATCTGAAGCCTTCAAAGTTCGAACGGTTTACGGAAAGGAGATGGATTATATATATATTTATCTTCGGCCTAGAGAAGGTAATAAGAGCAACATCAAAGGAAAATGGAGGGGTCCACGTCGGAATGAATCATAAAATCCTTGGATACACAGATTGTATAGCTGTCCTTAGAAGAAAGTATGAAGACATTGAGAAACGCGCTACAACACTGATAAGAGAGGCAGAGCAGATCGGCCTACAAGTAAATGAAGACAAAACTAAATATATCATAATAAGCCGAAAATTCCACTCTAATAGCAGGAACTGCGTAGAAGGAAAATCACTCCCGAGTGTAGACAAATTCAAATACCTCGGCTCCACAATAACCTCAATGGATGTCTAAAAATCGACCAGCATATAATTAACGCAAACAGAGCTTTCTTCTCCTTCTCAAAGTTATTGAGATTCCGAAAATCTCAAGACTGAGGGTGTACAATACTATGATAAAACCTGTTCTAATATGAGCTGTGAGATCTGGACACTAACCAGCACACTAGAAAAAAGTGTTGAAATTTGAGAGAAAAGTCCTCCTAACGATAACTGGGGCGATCTGAGATCAGAGTACTAACACATGGAGAAGAAAGACTAATAAAGAACTGGTTACAGAAACTGGTCAATTAATATTCCATGGTATGAACGCACGGAGGTTGTAGCCCGTAGCAATCAATCTGGAAACCTCTACGTAACAATTAGTGCCTCGATAGAAGGCAAAAGAAAAAGACCAGGTGGAAAGCCAAAAAGCAGATGGATAAATAGAATCAACAAAGATGCAATAGAGCTGCTTGAAGATAAACGGAAAGAAATAGCCCAAGACAGGCAGAGGTGGAGCAGGCTTGTTAAGGCGGCAAAAGATCTACATGGTCTGTAATACCAACAGAAAAAAAAAAAAATATTTTGAACTGAAAAATCTCAGCGAACAATTTGAGCCTACAAACTAAAAAATATTTCCAATCCTTACGCCCACGAAATCATTACATACCTAAAATCAGATAATCCATATCATAACCTATGAGATATAAGTACAAAATGAATAAAGTGATAATTAAATTTTGTCCACAATTTTAAATTAATGTAATCTCGACGATAATATCGATTACCTCCTATTCCCGTAAGATTCTTCTAATGCAGGTAATGGCTGGTACCTTGCGAACATATTTTCGTAACTCAGTGCTGTGTTGTTCAAATATCTGGGATCTTTTGCCTGTAAAATACATTATGATAAAAAGTTACAATAACAAATCATGTTTTTAGTACTTTTAGAATGACAATTCTCTCACGTATTTCTCCTGTGATACAAATGCCGAGGTAAGATCTCCAAAGAGTAGCGATGTGAAGGGCAACATGATGCCGTTGACGAGAGATGCTGTGGTGCCCAGAGTCATCAGGAAGACATCGGAACAGCCAGCGTAGCGGAACTGAATACAGAATCGAGAAGAGTTTCCAAATAATTTATAATAACTAATACAAAATTATTATTAAAAAAGGCTGCAAATTATTATACAATGCTTTAATATTTCAAACAGCTATACTTACTTACTTCGCCGAGTCCCTGCCTACCGCCGTTGCAGTGTTCGGTTTCTCTTACAAAACCTGGACCTTAGATCTCTATCCTGCGTCAATTCTCTCCTCCTTCTCCAATACATTTTCCTGTTTTCATATACTCCCTTTATACCTTCCTCTCATCTTCTCCTTGGCCTTCCTCTCGGTCTAAGAGCTTCGACCTGTATCTCATAGGTTCCTCTGGCTATTCTATTTTCATCCATCCTAATGACATGTCCAAACCATCGGAGTTGATCTTCCTTGATCACTGTTCTTGCAGCTTTTAGATTGAGGTTCGTCCTTATTATAGTATTTCTGATTTGATCTCTTCTTGTTTTACCTTCAATTCTTCGAAGGAATCTCATCTCCAAACTCTGTAGTAGACTCCTATGCTTTGTAGTAAGAGTCCTAGATTCACTGGAATATTCCAGTGTTGGGATGAAAGTATTCTTGTATATAGCCTCCTTATTTTCTTTTGATACTTCTCTCCTATCAATGAAGCCATTTTCAAGAGTATTGAAAAATTTTCTCCCCGAAACTATTCTTTCCCTGATCTCCATATCTATAAGTCCTTTTCTGTTTGATGCTCCTAGATACTTATATCTATCCACCTGTTCTATTATTTTTTCAATTTATACGGACTATACGTAAATTGTGAATCTGGAGCTTTCCAATTCTCACCACCTTTGTTTTTTCCTCGTTTATTTGCATATTAATTTTAACAAGCTCGTCTCTTAGGATCAATATATTATATTAAAGATCCTTATCATCTTTCCCGAAGACCACCAGGTCATCAGGATAAGCCATCAACTTAAAACGGCTTAGATTTCGGTTGCCAAGGTGAAAACTTCTCATTTTAGGTTTGGCTTTTTTTCTGAGCTGAGTTCAGGAGAACAATAAATAGCAGAAAGCTGAGACAACAGCCTTTTCGAATACCACTGACAGTTTCAAATTTCGCAGAGGTGTAATTGCAAGGACGTTCTCGCTATATTTCTATTTCTTTTGTAAAGGCTTACTATATCCATTCTTAGTCCCATGTCCACTCCCAGGTCTTCCAGGATCTTCGCTAAATCTTTTTTTCTTGCTTAGTCAAAGACTTTTGTCAAATCCACAAAACATCAAACAGTTATTTACCATATATAACACAAATATAGATAAAAGATGATTCTATAATTATAGGCCTCAATAAGTTTTTTTTTCATTATTAATAGTATAGAGAAAAATTGTGATTGCTTCAAGTGTTTTAAGACTTTCCCAATATTTAAGAGAAGAATAAGAAGCGTCTGCGCCATCTAGCTGGATGAAAGGAATCCTTTTTCATCGAGTTTCATAAAAATCGAAGGAATAAAAGTGAAGTTAGAGGAACAAATATGATTATATACTAACTATTACTTCTATACATGCAAAAGATACAAATGCAAAAGTTACAGATTTATGCGAATTCTGTTTGTGATTAGCCTCAATGTGATCAGAGTTGGGCGTTAGCGCGCTAATTTTTAACTAGCTAACGTAGCGCTAAAAAGCTAAAATTAGCGGCGCTAAATATTACGCTAATTTAGCTTCCAGCTGTTTTAGCGCAGATAACTTTAGCGCTAAATTAGCTATTAGCGGAAACGAACCGCTAACTTTTAGCTTAAGCTAAATTATCTATTAACTTAACTAAAAGCTAACTTAACGCTAACACTAGAGGAAAATTTTTTATTTTTTTTTATAAATTGATATTAGGACCGACTGTTATGTAATAAGGGCCGATTTTTATGAAGATTCTATCGGATTTTAAATAGTGCCCCCGGGCACCGACTTTTTGTAACTTTTCTGATTTAATCGATATATGGGTCGACTATTAGGTTTTCGGGGGCGCTTTTTATGAAAATAATGACGGATTTTAGGTGTGACCTCTCCCCCCCCTCCCCAACCGGGCACCGACGTTTTGTAACTTTTCTGATTTTATCAATATATGGGTCGACTATTAGGTTTTGGGGGGCGCTTATTATGAAAATAATGTCGGATTTCATGTGTGAACCTCCCCCCCTCCTCTCCCAGGCACCGACTTTTTGTAACTTTCTGATTTTACAGATATGTGGGTCGACTATGACGTTTTCGGAGGCGCTTTTTATGAAAATAATGACGGATTTCATGTGTGAACCCCCCCCCCCTCTCCCAGGCACCGACTTTTTGTAACTTTTCTGATTTTATAGATATATGGGTCGACGATTAGGTTTTGGGGGGCGGTTTTTATGAAAATAATGACGGATTTTAGGTGTGACCTCTCCCCCGCCCCCAAACGGGCACCGACATTTTGTAACTGTTCTGATTTTATCAATATAAGGGTCGACTATTAGGTTTTGGGGGGCACTTTTTATGAAAATAATGACGGATTTTAGGTGTGACCTCTCCCCCCCCCCCCCAACCGGGCACCGACGTTTTGTAACTGTTCTGATTTTATCAATATATGGGTCGACTATTAGGTTTTGGGGGGGCGCTTATTACGAAAATAACGTCGGATTTCATGTGTGAACCTCCCCCCCTCCTCCCAGGCACCGACATTTGTAACTTTCTGATTTTATCAGATATATGGGTCGACTATGACGTTTTCGGAGGCGCTTATTATGAAAATAATGACGGATTTCATGTGTGAACCTCCCCCCCCCCTCTCCCAGGCACCGACTTTTTGTAACTTTTCTGATTTTATAGATATATGGGTCGACGATTAGGTTTTGGGGGGCGCTTTTTATGAAAATAATGACGGATTTTAGGTGTGACCTCTCCCCCCCCCCCCAAACGGGCGCCGACATTTTGTAACTGTTCTGATTTTATCAATATAAGGGTCGACTATTAGGTTTTGGGGGGCACTTTTTATGAAAATAATGCGGATTTTAGGTGTGACCTCTCCCCCCCCCCCAAACGGGCACCGACATTTTGTAACTGTTCTGATTTTATCAATATAAGGGTCGACTATTAGGTTTTGGGGGGCGCTTTTTACGAAAATAACGACGGATTTTAGGTGTGACCCCTCCCCCCCAGGGCACCGAAATTTGTAACTTTTCTGATTTTATCAATATATGGGTCGACTATTAGGTTTTGGGGGGCGCTTATTATGAAAATAATGTCGGATTTCATGTGTGAACCTCCCCCCCCTCCCTCAGGCACCGACTTTTTGTAACTTTTCTGATTTTATAGATATATGGGTCGACCATTAGGTTTTGGGGGGCGCTTTTTATGAAAATAATGACGGATTTTAGGTGTGACCTCTCCCCCCCCCCCCCAAACGGGCGCCGACATTTTGTAACTGTTCTGATTTTATCAATATAAGGGTCGACTATTAGGTTTTGGGGGCACTTTTTATGAAAATAATGACGGATTTTAGGTGTGACCTCTCCCCCCCCTCCCAAACGGGCACCGACATTTTGTAACTGTTCTGATTTTATCAATATATAGGTCGACTATTAGGTTTTGGAGGGCGCTTTTTATGAAAATAATGACGGATTTTAGGTGTGACCTCCCCCCCCTCCCCAACCGGGCACCGACTTTTTGTAACTTTTCTGATTTTATCAATATATAGGTCGACTATTAGGTTTTGGGGGACGCTTATTATGAAAATAATGTCGGATTTCATGTGTGAACCTCCCCCCCTCCTCCCCAGGCACCGACGTTTTGTAACTTTTCTGATTTTATCAATATATGGGTCGACTATTAGGTTTTGGGGGGCGCTTATTATGCAAATAATGTCGGATTTTAGGTGTGATCTCTCTTCCCTCCCCCGGGGCACATTTTGTAACTTTTCTGGATTTAATCAATATCAGGGCTTTATTGAGGTTGTCTAAATTTAAATTAAGATTATAAATAAATCTTAAATTAAAAATTCTGTTAAACAATTTCTGGTTTTATTTATTCACTTCAACCACTTAAATTTTTGTTCTATTTTGTGAGGGATATGTCAATTTCACTGCGAGTCACATTATATGAAATCAGGTGAAATTTCTTTTAATTCGATAATTATCTAAAGGAGAAGTAACCTAATATAATAATGGAGAACCTGTACCACTACAACCCATGAAGGGTCTGGGGTTCAGTACTATTTAGCTAAAGCACTGTTTCTAGGTCAACGGTTGTGCAAGGAGGTGATTTGACCGAAATCACGCTCAACCGCCAGGTCCGCGCGATTTTCCGCCCCTTGGGAGAACCAATAATGGAGAAAAAAAAAAAAACCCGATCCTTGCTAAAAGTTAGTACAGTTTTCTATGCCAAACATAAGCATGTGCCGTTTTCAAAAAATGCTACCGTTTCGATTATTTAATATTTAATTGTATAGAATTTAGCAATATAAAAATATAATTTTCATATATACTTAGCAACGCTTAGAAAATAAAAATACCTACAGTATAATATATATAAATCTTGAGGACTTCATTATCAGTGGCACTCTTGCTGGACTAAAATTATTTTGTGTCACTTAATTATTTATTAATATCAAAATATACATCAAATATACATTTATTAAAGCCAAAGATTAGCGAAAAATAATGTAAATATAATATATTAGATGGCCTTGAAAAACATGGAAATTGATTGCTTGAGCAAATATCTTGTGCCGTCTCAGATTTTTACTTCCCTTCTCTGAAAGGGTTTCCTCCTTTCTATTTCTCCTATAAGAAGGGTTGTTTGATGCAGGAACCGAATCAGTTTTTTAATATTATTTTCCTGTCATTCCAGAGATGGCAAACTAATGCCAAGTGGAAGTGCGCAAAACCTAAAAACACCCTAACGAATAAAAAAATTGGTGGATGGTGAAAAAGTTTCAAAATAAAAAATCTCCGAAAGGAATTTCCCTAGATCAATTTAC